CCTAATGATTTTTGGCATAAAAGAAAAATCAGTAATTTTGACCCATACAATGTATTTTTGGCTATTGCTACAAATATACCCCAGTGACTTAAGACTGGTTTTGTGGTCCAGGGTCACATATAATAATCACAAACTGTATTTGGGAGGATTGAATTAGACCGCTAACAGGAACATGATTTGGGAATGTTTGGGAGTTTTGTATCTCTGCTGAGTGAGAGTTATGATAAAATAAACTGATGCCTCATGGTGTTTATACAGTACAGATTCAGAATGTGTCCTAATCATTTTGTGAGCCGTTTTTTTTCCTATAAATAAAAGATTTGTGTCATGACGTCTACTCATGTCATACCAAGCCTATATGATGTTCTTTCTTGGAACACTTGAAGAGAAATGTAGCATATTTAGCAATGTTTATGCTGCTCTTTTCCATACAATTAAAGCAGACGAACACTAGCTGTCAAGCTCCAAAATTGACCAAAAAAGCATCAATACTCTGCTATATATTCCAACACATTCAATAGCTTTGTATAAGGAAAAGACTGAAATGAAGCCTTTAACATCTTTAAGTCACCATTCACTTTTATTGCATTGAAAAGAGCAGCTGCTTGGACATACTGCTATCAATTACTTGAGCAAATCATGAATTTTCATTTTTGGGTAGATGTATTCTCTGGTTATGCAGAGAGGCTTTGAGGGGACTCCAGTCTTTGCTGTGGGTTTTAGAGACTAGTGGCTTTAAGCATTCGAGGGAGCGTTGTTTAGTTTAGTCTTATCTGAGAGTGCTGAGATTGATTTAGGCTCACTCAGTCGTGTCATTGCTGTCAGTCATCAGCAGACCTTCTGCTGGTTCACTGATAAGCACGCTTTCTCACACCCTCTTCTTACCTCTTTCACTTTAGCTATGCTTTATGTTTGTAGTCTGTCTCATCTTTCACTCTGCTTTTTGCTTTTTCTTATTCTCCTCTACTTTCATTTTCTTTTTGACTTTTTTTTTTCTTTTCGGAAAAAAAAATGTTTTCTGTCTTTTCAGGTGTCATTTTATAAGATGCACACGGGAGACATATCCAATCCATTATATCATTATTATAATTTCATCATGGATGATATTGGGAATACATTGGGAGCAGTGGCTGATGTTGGAAATTTATTTCAGGGTGCATATTTCTTAATTTTTTTTGTAATGATGTGGTGCTAAGTCCCACCATTATAATAAGGATGCTTTTTAGAAGATCTCACATTTCTTTGTTACACATAGTTCGTACAGTACATTAAAGGGATAGTCCAACTAAAAATGGAAATTCTTTCATTCTATCTGTCAATGAAAATTGACATGCTATTCCCGTCACCCTTATGCTATTCCAATCCTGTATACATTTCTACTCCTGAGCACAAAAGAAGATATTTTGAAGAATAACCAAACAGTTTTGGTTCCCATTGACCTATCCCTTTAATGTTGCATGTGTTGCCTAAATTTAATTTGAATTATTTAATTTTCAGTGTCTTTTGAAATTATGATTGGTCTTTGGTATCAGCCAAAATTTTAACTGATTTATTACTGAACACACACACACACACACACACACACACAAAAAAAAAATAAAAACAAACATTTGAAATGTTTTACTTTACATGTAATGAATCTAGAATATATGAAAGTTTCACTTTTGAAATAAGTTACCAAAAAAAAACAAAAATAACTTTTTTACGATATTCTAATTTTTTTAGATACTCCTGTAGAATGTATACCTTGAGTGCAACATGAATGTAAGTCACTTTAAAGGGGTCATATGATGCGATTTCATTTTTTCCTTTCTCTTTGGAGTGTTACAAGCTCTTGGTGCATAAAGAAGATCTGTAAAGTTGCAAAGACTAAAGTCTCAAATCCAAAGAGATATTCTTTATAAAAGTTAAGAGTCAACCACGCCTACCTAAAACGCCGCATAAACACATTGCATTACACCAAATACACAACATAGTGTTTTTTAGCAACGTCATATGACCCCTTTAAATAAGAGCTTCTGCCAAATGTAAATAAGAGTCAAAAAAACAATGTTCAGTCAAGTTTGTGATATCTGTGAGTATTTCAAGAATATTTAACCATTGGCCCTTCAGTATGGTTCAGTCAGTTTCTTGGGTAAGTGTGTGTGTTATTTGAATTTGTGTGAAGACGCTTTAGCAGGATAAGCAACACACAAAACCACTCATGCACATAAAAATAAACTTTCTCAGTCTCTTACTGGCTGACACTCCCTCATACTGTTGTCATGGAGATTACAGGCACATTATTAATGCAATATACTTTGTTTACACATACAATCTTAGCCATCAAAGCTCTAGCCTTCTCTCTCACACACACCAGCATACACAGCTGCAGAGAGCTCTCACACACACATATAGTCTATAATCAGAGGCAGATGTTTAGCATATGAGGTTAGCTAAGGCTCAGATGAAAGGGAGAGAAAGATCTCTGTGAGTTGGTTCAGCTTGTGGTCCTGCATCTGTGTCATGTGGTCTCAGGGCATGAGGTGCGGTCTGGAAAACCAGCATGGTCTAACTCTCTATGTTTGAATCCTTGGGTTTTTTAATGGTTGTGTTTCTGATGTTCATCTGAATCACTTGACACAGTTACACTGCATGACCCCATAGAGGTGTGTGCTACAGCGGGTGCATTTGTTCTGTTGTCAGAGACAATCTAGTCAGACATATGACTTCTCCTCCATGGTTTTATAGTTAATTCAGGTTACTTTGAAATGTAAATTCAACATTGAGATCTGATCTTATCTTCTATTTATCGTGTCCTCTGATCTTTTGCTAAATTGCATTGCAGTAGGCTGAAGCCATGTTATGTGTTGATCCCAACACAGTGGCATTAGCTCAACCAATGCCATGAGTTTGAGGCAGAACTTTCTGTTTGCCGACCAATAATAGTCATTGTTTTTGCTATTCCATTTGGTGATGGTAGTGGCACCGAATTTACATAATTCACATTTAAGTGATCAAAACTCTCTCCAGAGTCTTGTAAAACTGTGTAACCGAGCTCCTGCCAAAGTAGAGATTTCCACATAACAGACACATTTAACTGTTTGTGTTAGTTCTCCTTTTCCCTTTCATTCAGGGGATGTCTTTTGCAAGGCAAAGCAGAAGTTAGAGGTTAAATGTTTTGAAAAATATTTTTTTCCAGTTTCACCGAGCTGAAGGGAACAGCACGGAGGGAAATGTCCTGTTCCCTTTTATTATACTGCACTGAATGGAAATCCCTGAGTTAAAGCAGCATATTATTTGCTGTGTCATTTTCCTGTCAGCTGGTGTTTCACTGTAAATCCACTGCTGTACATGTTTAAACATGGACGTTAGTGCATATAAATCTCTGCTGGAGTGTTTAAACTCTGCAGTAATCTGTTTGAGAAGGATGTGGGCCGCCAAAGACACAGACAGGCGGCTTAATCCGAATGAACGATGACAAGGAATGTTGCTTTTTAACATTCATGCAAGTTTTAGCAATTTGATACAAATGAATGTTTTTAAATAACCTGAGAACACATGTACAGGTGAAACTCGAACCTTGCATACCGCATGCATAAACTTGCATACTTGCCCTACCATTTTTATTAATACTTTTATTTATCAATGATGTATTAAATTAAAAGACATTTGTTACAAAAGGTTTCCATTTCAAATAAATGCTGTTCATTTGAACTTTCTATTGAAAATGTATCATGAAGTTGTTTTGTGACAATTTTTTTTTTACAAAATTGTAAAATTGACAATGTGAAATTGGACAATATTTACAAAGGTTTTTTTTTTTTCATTCTAAACATCCTGCTATAAATAATTATGAAATGTAACTTATATCTGATGAAATACAGAGAGTGTTTATGATTAAATGTTATGTTTGTTAACCAGCATAGTTGGTTAAATGTGTGGCAGCTCTTTTTAAAGTTTCCTTCTGGCTTTGGGTCGCTCTTTTCATCTGCCTGACCATCTTTTGCTTTGTGGGACAGTAATTGTAGTTAAGTGGTTGTTTTATGGTGTGCTGAGGGTTTGACTTCAGTGTTTGTTGGCTGAACGGCCGTTGTACCACAGGAGGGGTCCATCTGTGGACAAATGCATTATGCAAGTGGCAATGATGAGAATGGTATCGCTCATAGATACTACCATGGACACTTGAGACATATGGACACACACCCAGAACAGATACCCTTCAGCTTCATGAAACAGGTTAGCATTAGCTGTGGTGTCACTGTGACATTGGGCTCACAGCCAAACATGAGGACACTGGGTGTGAATGTGTGTGTGTGTGTGTGTGTGTCTCTGCACACGTCTGCATGTGTGCTTACTTGTTTTTTAGAACACCATCTGTGTGTAAGCTGTTATAATGTGTTACGGAGTTCTTTCTACACATCTGGTTTACTCTATAGTACTACAACTCATGGAAATGACAGAGAGTGAGACAGATAATGTATCCTCTGGCTCCTTATGAGAGATGACGGTGTATGTTTTCTCACACAGGCTGTTCCTCCTCTGCCATCTGTTGTAGTCGTGTGTGTGCAAAAAGTTAAAAGCAAAGCAGTCCTATATAATCCTTTGCTGGTTATTCATGTACATTGATGGACTAGCTTGTTCAAGCAGTTTCAAAATTCACTTTAAGTTACGACTGTGCAATTTGTGTTGTTGATAAAATGTGAATAATTTTAACCATTGAATTCATTCTACACAAATCAGAAAGCACTATTATAAAAGCACACAGGTAATCAATGGTTAACATTTATGCCACGACTGATGAGTTTCATTGTGAAATTTTACAGAAGTTGTCTATCTCATCACCTAAAGCATATTCTAATCTGTGTGTGTGTGTGTGTGTGTGTGTGTGTGTGTGTTTTCACAGTATCCTCTGCTGCTGGGTCTCTCTCTAGCCATCAGCTGGTGTGTCCTGGTGTGTTTGAGCCGCATATACATGGGCATGCACTCCATACTGGTAAGACAAATTAAAACAACTGAAACATATAAAACGTAATATTTTTATTTATTAATAGACGATGGAAGGATGTCATTTTTAGAGATACAAGATAAGTTTGAACTATATCAATATTACACACTGTTATATTTAAAGGGGTGGTTGATTATGATTTCACTTTTTTTAACTTTAGTTAGTCTGTAATGTTGCTGTTTGAGCATAAACAACATCTGCAAAGTTACAACACTCCAAGTTCAATGTAAAATTAGATATTTTCTTTTAAAGAAATCACTGTTTAAGGACTACAAAAAAGGCTGGTAGGGACTACAGCAAGCCTCTTCCCGGGTTTGTGGCCAGCTAACCAATCTGAACCCGATTGCGTATTTCTATGGGAAGGGCTTCATAGAACCAGGAACTCATCAGACCGTTTTGACGAGAACAGCAGTGTAGAATAAAGGTAAAACATGTGAAAATAATGCGTTTTTTTTTAATGAAGCATGAACGCATAGCATGGTACACTGCTCCGCATAAAAACTATCAAGGATTCGAAAAAAGCTGATCAACCACCCTTTTAATAATGCATGCTAATTTCTGCTATTTTTAGATTTAGATTACCTCTGCTGTTATCTAACGCTCACTTAATGTTCATCTTAAACACTAATAATTTACTAATGGAGTTAGAAGTAATCAAATCTTAAATGAAAATCCATTTTTTGTACTGTACATTATAATGTTGTGATACCTAAATTCACTTGTAGCATTAAAAACAATTAGTTTTAGTTTTCAGGTTAATTTTATTTAGGTAAAATAGAATAGAATTTTATTATCAGTCATAGCATGAAAATAAATGTCATCTTACTGGTATCATATTCACCATAAAAATCAGATTTAAGAAGACTGCCGCTTTTGTAAAGGCCAGGAAACATTGAGGTTCCTCATGGGGTGTGTGTGTATGTTATTCTTGGTTTATCTGTGTTTGTATGTGGATGTTATCTGTGTGAGTGTGTGTTCATTTAAAAAAAAAATCCCTGGTGTTTCTTTACTAGGCCGGATAATTACCAGCAGTAGTATGTATTTGTGCGTGGATGCAGATCAATTTGATATGTCTTTACTTGAACGCTTTGCCTTTTTAAAGGAAGATCACACATATGGCTTGAATAATAAGCATGTTTGTGTGACCTGAGGCTAGTCAAATAGACTGTGAGCGGCCTGGTTTAACTACATCCATCTGTTTGGGTCTCATGTTGCCCCAAAATCCCCATTCATTATAAGCATGTATCACGCACGTGTACAGACATGGTAAATCCGATCGGTGATGTCTTACAGTAACAAATGGTGTAATTTTGCAGAATGATTTCATCTGTTGGCGAGGTGTCTGTCTGGATGACTTGATTTTTCCGCAGTCCTGAAAATTTGGTGTTTCATATGGGTGTTCTGCTCCATGTCTGCTTTAAGCAGTAATGTCACCCTCAGGGTGACCTCATCTGTCTGGTCGCCCTGTTGGGGTGATGAGTGGCCGTTGCCCTAGAGATTGTTCCCTTGGCAACCGTGGGATTGTCTTAGCACTCTCATATTCACGAGACAAGGAGGTATTGTGAAACTAGTCAGATGACACACTCTTTGGGAAATGTTATGGCCAAATAAAAGGCTTATTAAAATTATTATTCATTATGTCATTGATTGACTAAAATCATAGCTAATATGTTTTAATATGCTAATACTGTATTTATTTTTTTATTTTTTTATAAATTGACCGTTTCATGATCCAGAGTGATACTAATCTTTCAGTCAAGCTTTTCTCTCTAGCTTTGATTCATTTCTCTCTGTTGTAAGAATTTTTTGCCCTTTTTTAAATTTCATTTTTTGTGTTTTACTGATTGAGAGGGTTTGATCTGATTGTCACACTTTGACAGTTGAAGAATCACTAGAACAGACTGAAGAGAGATAGGATATCTCTCTATCTCACACTCGTTCGGTCAAAACATGTACACGTGCAACATGCAAAAGCAGTGAACTCGAAGCAGATGTGGAAAATTAGCCCATAATGGTTAATGACTGATAGATAAGAGAGAGAGGGGTGAGGCATGTCTCATGAAGAAAATGTTTCTGTTCTTTTGAACATAATTTGAAAACATCCAGACAAATGTACTTGGGGTCCACAATGAAAACAGCTTCATAAAGGGACTGAATGGTTTCTGTTTTTGCATCTACAAATGCTGAAAGGCCAAATTTGAGGTTAGAGTTTAAAATTAGGCTTAGGGTTAAGTGTGTGTGTGTGACTGAAGGCGAGTGTAAATGAACATTTGCTGCTAGTTAATCTGTGCCTGTAATCAGTGAAGAGTTTCCATGATGTTTTAAGTGCTGAGTGTGAAAACTGTTTTGAATTAACCAGCTCATTTCCTTCTCCCACACACAGTCAGCCAGACTAAAGCGCTACATATTATTGTCTAATAGGTTTCACATGGATGTGTGTGTGTTTTGTGGTCTCTGTGGAATCTCTCAACAAATGCTGAAGTCACTCACAAGTCTTGCTATTTGTTGAACACACATAAACTGTGTATAAGTCAAGAATGTAGTGAACTGACCTTCTGCTAAGCAAAGCTGACCAATCTTACCTCTTGCCCTGTGCGAAGTTAAACCTTTTTTAGGCCTGTCGCAATAATCAATATATCGACTTATCGCGCAATATATGTACATGACCTCAATCATTTTTGGTGACGCAATATATCGCTCATTATATTTACTTAAAAATTAATGTCACCATGTTTTGTACATTCCACTTGTGCCTGTGTCTTTTGCAGCTTCTTGTACATAACGTGGTATTTCTTGGGCAATATATCGCACAACAAAAAGTTGTTATCGTGACAGGCCTAACCTTTTTCTAATGTTAGTCTTTGGATCTTTGCGAATTTATGAGAATTATCAAAAATATGATAAAGAGAGGGTACAAGGGATCACTTTTACATTTTCCAAATCTTGTGACGTGTATAATTCATCTATTTCTGAGAGGAGTGGCAGATAAGATGCTTTGCATTGTTACAATTTATTGCAGACCACATAATAATAATATTTAATCAATTACCACGACTTTATGAGCACATAGTACTGAATAATATCACACAGTTCACCGAAGCCCTTAGTTTATATGGGATATTCTGTAAAGGTTGTCTTGTGGTAGTAACAGCAACCAAAGGCTGAAGACTAGTAAAGGTAGAAATACAGACAGCAGCTGTTGGTTTAAATTAAGAGAACTCTTTAATTTAATCATTAAAGGGGTGGTTGATTGCGATTTCACTTTTTTAACGTTAGTTAGTGTGTAATGTTGCTGTTTGAGCATAAACAATATCTGCAAAGTTATGAAGCTGAAAGTTCAATACAAACGGAGATATCTTTTAAAATTCTGGCAGTTTAATGCCTACAAAAACG